CTGATGCCAACTCCAGCCTGGCCAAGATCTGAGCAACGTCTGCTGGGGTGGGAGCCGGTGACCCCTCCCCAGGCTGGGGCCCCAGAGGGGCAGTGGGGGCCCCCAGGTGCAGGCTGCCCCCGTGTCACCCCTGCACGTGGCGCCCTGACCCCTGCCCTGTGCCGTTTTAGGTGCTCCTGGGCTGGCCCTGGGCTCTGCTACGTATGCTGTGCATACTCCCCGCCCAGGGTGGGCCCCCAATAAATGACGTTGGCAGATGTGGGCCTCTGACTGGGCTGCCTGGGGCTTGGGGGTAGGCAGGGGCTCCCCTGGATCCCTCACAGATCCCAGGGCTGCTGTCCTGTTCCCTGGGCACATCCCAGCACCTGTAGGGGGTGGGGGAGCCAAAATAAGTGCCCTGGGGAGTCAGTGCTGCACCTGTCAGCCACGCGAGACCCTAACCCAGGGACCTTGCCTGGGCCACTTGGGAGGGGCTGGCAGGGGCTGAGTACTGATGGGAACTCTGAGGCCCTGGCCCCAAAGGTCATCTAGGGCCACCCCTCGAGTTGCTGGGGCTCCTCCCAGGAGAGGGCACAAGTGTCTGTTTCTTCTCAAACCCCATGCCCTGCTAGACCCAAGTGTATGGTGACCCTACGACCCCCATGACACCTGCAGGGCCCCTGAGTCCCCCTGAGACCAGCTCCATGCCCTCAGGGAAACTGGAGTCTTCTGACAGGGCTGATCCTTCATCCACCCTGGGCGGGAACAGAACAGGCACCATTATGTGAAAAGGTTCCCAGGTGGGAAACCGGTGTCCATGGACAGCAGAATGGGCTGTAAAACCCGCATGGTCAGATAGTCCTGCTGGTCAGCACTGGGGGGCGGCCCTGGCTTGGGCAGAGGTGTGGACTTGGGGCGAGTGGCCAAGGGCTCACTTGAGGTGTGCAGGTTAAACAGCTCAGGGAACCCAGGTCAGTGTGGAAACTCTCCACAGCCCATAGACATTTGCACCCCAGGTGTTCAGACAGATTGCAGAGCTACAATGAACCGAAATAAAAGACTACCTAGCTGCTGTTGGGGGTGTGGAGGAGCAGAGAAAATCTGGGCAAGAGCCTGAGACCTCGCCTCGTGCACTTGGCAAATGAGCGCTTGGCTTGCTCTCATACCTTTCCCTGCCGGGTGTCCAGGACCCAGACATCACTGCACCAAGAGGGTCCTACAGCAGTTGAAGATCCTCCTGCCACATGTGTCAGGCTGCCGTCCTGCCCTCTACCCCTAGTTTCTTGGGCTGGCTTTCTCCCCAGAGCTGCCCTGGAGGCCCATCCATCTCTCCTCAAACCTCTGACCCCTGGTGGCCTCCTGGGGAAATGGACAATGGGACCATCATGTGTTCTTGGAAGGCTCTCAGGATGCAGCAGTGAACACACACACCCTGTGCCCTTGGAACGGGCAACAAATTGGCACCACCGGTCAGGGGCCTGTGGTCCCTGGGCAGCGCAGAGACTGTGCAGAGAGGCTACGGAACAAGCCGGAGGGTTCTAGGGGAGAGCCCAGGGTCTTAGGGCCTGGAAGGTCGAAGGTCATGGGAAAGGGCTTCCTCCCCAAAACTCCCACCTGCTTCCTCAGCCATGAGCCCCCTACCTTGCATGGCAGCTCCACCTCTGAACAGCTGACAGATGGACGGACGGAGGTTGATCACTTTTAGTTTACTTTGATGCTGCCGCTAAGCACACTCTCCACTCCTGTCTCTGCTGCCAAGCCTCCTAAAGCCTGCTGAGCTACCCCCTGGGCCCACAGACACCCCCCTGATATGCTCACACTGGGCCCTCCCTGCTCTAGGACCCCTACCTGGCTCCCCATCCTCCCCCCTCAGCCCTCCTGATTAACACCTGGACCCCATGTGGGACCCTCTGCCCCTTGAGTGAGCATCACTTGTGTGAGCTGAGACAAGTGATGAAAAATGTGATGAGCTGCTCAAAAAGTATTGGAAAATACAGCTGGCAGATAGAGATCTCCCCCCGCAGTGCCAGGTCACAGAAACTCCGCAGTTTGCGGCCGCGTAGGAGGAGCCTTCCGGAGCCTTGGGGACCAGAAGACGACGCAGGTCCCCACCCCTGATGTCACTCTTGCCTCTTGTCACACACGACCCTCCCTCTGGTTTCCTGCTGCTGCAGGTGGCAGTTCCCTTTGCACAGACAGCTACCCCCTGGCGCCTGCGTGCTGGTCAGCTTCCAGAAGGGCCAATAGAGAGGACCTGGTTGGACAAGCATCATTTTAGGGGATTTATCATTTTTTTCTTAGGCTTTTACCAGAATTGGGGTGATGCCAACCTGGTACAGACATGACTGTTCAGGTCTTTAAAGTGAGCAGTGGCAGAAGGTCCAGTTCTCCATTCCGCACCTTGCCCTGGGGTCTAGCGATGGCTCAAAGCCTCCTCCAATCTAGGAGTTGAGCTGCAATCTGGGGGTCCTCAGAGAGGGCCAGTCCTAGGGGCCTCACCTTGCCCTCTAGCAACCAGAGCCATAGCCCCCGCAGAGACCCTCCCTTTTCTGCAGGGCCCAGTTGCTTCTCTGAGGAGGGCCTTGCACATCCTGGGACTTGAGTCACAAACCCCGTCATTCTCAAACCAAGTTTCACAGGTCTGCCCTGATCACCAAGTCATGGCCCTCAACATACCTGTGGGTGCCACCAAAATCACACTCCTGGGACCCCCATTGCCCACCCTACAGCATTCCCAGGGATCTCTGCCCATTTCCCCTGTATCCAGCTTCCACTGGAGGGCCAAGCAATCTGGGGAGGCTTCCTGAAGGAAGCAGGGCCCCAGAAACTATGGTGAAGAAATTAAGGATCATAGAGACAAGGGACAGTCTCACAGCGAGCTGCAGCCTGGACAGCCCCTCCTCCCGACTTCAGGGTTCACTTGGTGTTTCTGGAGGCTGAGTTCTCAGCCTCACAAGCTCAAGCGCTCCATCAGGGGCCAGCACATCCCCATGGGCTGATGGGATTCCAGTGGGGAGATCTGGGTTGAAGTCTGCAGGGCTGTCAGGGCTGCAGCCTGGATGGCCCTTCCTCCCTCTGCAGGGTTCAGCCAGTGACTGGTTTCTCCTTGCTAGCTCCTCCTCTCAGGTGTCAGCACAGCTGTAGCCTCCAGTATGTGTGATGTCTGGAGCCTGGCCAGGTCCACTTGGCCAAGCTGAGGGGTGGGGGGTGGGGGTGGGGTGGGGTGTGGGGAGTGGGAGGTGGGGGGTGGGGGGGTGGGGAAGTCTTGTCCTAATTTCCCAAAGTGGGGGGCTTGTTCTAATCCTCAGAAAGCAGGGACTCTTCTGACCCCTGAATAGGTTCTGAGGCTGCTCAGTGCTGGCAATCCAGGACTTCTGGGAGGTTGTGGGATCCCTGGCCTGGAGGCTTCAGAGGATGAGGGATTTCATCCCACCCGCTCTGGGTGTTGGAGGGGCCTCACAGGGCCCCCCTGGGGAAGCTGGAGGTGGAGAGGGAGTCAGCCAGGAGCCAAGGGGCACAGTGAGGAAGCAGTCCTTGTTGGGGGTGTGCCCCACCCCCAATGACTCAGGGTACTGTCTGCCACCCCGCATCCGGCGCCAACCCACACTCCACTTCCTTCAGGCCTGGTGGCTGCAGGTTTTACATAGAAAATATTTCTGACCACCCCCGCCCACCCTCCTTGTGATGTGGCTGGGGGTACGAGTGGTGTTTCCCCTGACAAGGCACACACATTTAGGTCACATTTAGTTTCCGGAAAAGAATTCCTGGGCCAAAGGGCATGATCACTTAGGAATCCCCCAAGGTCACCTTCACACATGGGTCTACTGGGTGTCTTGTCCTCTGTGGTCAGTTGCTCTGCGGCCTACGATGATAGCTGCTCTTTTTTCTTTTTTTGGTCGCACACAACTTGTGGGATCATAGTTCCTGATCAGAGATTGAACCCTAACCCTAACCCTGCCTAAGGCAGTGAAAGCACTGAGTCCTATTAACTGGACTTCCAGGGAATTCCCATCCCTTGAATTTTTTTTTAAAAAAGTATTTTTTATAGCAGTTTTAGGTTCTCAGCAAGTGAGGGGGAACCTTCCCCCCATCAATACCCCTCAGTCGCTCAGTTGTGTCCGACTTTTTGTGACCCTGTGGACTGCAGCACGCCTGGCTTCCCTGTCCATCACCAACTCCTGGAGCTTGCTCAAACTCATGTCCATGATTGGTGATGCCATCCAACAATCTCATCCTCTATCCCCTTCTCCTGCCTTCAATCTTTCCCAGCATCAGTGTCTTTTCCAATGAATCAGCTCTTCACATCAGGTGGTCAAAGTACTGGAGCTTCAGCTTCAGCATCAGTCCTTCCAATGAATATTCAGGACTGATTTCCTTTAAGATGGACTCATTTGATCTCCTTGCAGTCCAAGGAACTCTCAGGAGTCTTCTGCAACACTGCAGTTCAAAAGCATCAATTCTTCAGTGCTCAGCTTTCTTTATGGTCCAACTCTCACATCCATACATGACTACAGTAAAAACCATAGTTTTGGGGGCTAAGATGGACCTTTGTTGGCAAAGTAATGTCTCTGCTTTTTAATATGCTGTCTAGGTTTGTCATAGCTTTTCTTCCAAGGAGCAAGCTCAAGAGGGGGAGCTGACTGCGGCTCAGATCATGAACTCCTTACTGCAAAATTCAATAACCCTGAGGACAGTGTATTTGTTACAAAAGACAAACCTGCACTGACACTTCATCCTAACCCAGAGTCTGTAGTTCACATCCAGTGGGGTCCTCCTGGGCTCTGGACAGACGAATGATGACGCGTCCCCGCCGCTGAAGTTTCCAGAGCAGTCTCATTGCCCCAAACCTCCACCCACGCCTTGGATTTTGAGTCGCAGGGTCTCGGGGGTCACGCATGGGAACAGTTCCTCTGGCCTGTTTGGGGCGTGGCCGAGGCGGAGCGCCCCGCGGGGCGGGATCTGGGCGTGTCTGGGAGGGGCCTGCTTCCTAAAACGGCAGGGCGCGCGGCCAGGGGGACGCCATGGGGGCGAGGGGCGCGCGAGTGGCCCTGTGCGGTGTCGCGCTGCTCTGGGCACTGGGCCTGGGCCAGCGCCCCCTCGGCGATCTGAGATGCAGCCCTGGCCAAGTTCTGCATGGGACGGGGACACAGGCACGCTGCTGCCGCTGCGCCCCAGGTAAGGCAGGCATGAGCCCCTGCGCGGAGGGCGGCAGCGCGGCGCACCTCCCCGTGCTCAGGGCAAGCTTTCTGGGTCCAAAGCCCTGATCCCAGAGCAACCCGGCGGCGGCGGAGGCAGAAGTGGCTTGGGGATTGGGGACTGGGGGTTGGGGGATGATGGCCGGGAGGTGGGGCAGGGGCAGGGAGTGTGGGAACCTTCCCCAAGACAGGTCAGGGGTCCCAATGTGGAGGAGGGCTCTCCCTGTTCCTTCTGAGTGGGTAGTGAGCCCGTGGCCATCACTCAGGCTCAGTTTGGGTTTGCACCCCTCTTTCTGCCAGCTGCCTGCCTCGGACCTGCATATCTGGGTGGGAGAAAAGTGGAATGGGTCAGTTTGGGGACAAATATCCCTGGGGAAAACACCCAGGGTGTCACCCTGCCAGGACCTGGGGGGTGGTAAGGGGCTCTTAGAGTTCAGGTCTCAGTGTCATGGGCACTGTGGACAGCAGTCAGGGAGGGATGGGCAGGCTGCCTGGAGGGTCCTGGCAGCTGAGGGCCATGCAGGATGGAAAGGGGGCAGGGAGTAGATCTCCCTGGCAACTCCCTTGTCCATTGGGATGGCTCCGGGTCACATTGAGTCATGGTCACCCTGGGTGAGAGCAGCTTCAGGGCAATGGGGTATGCAGCCAGGCCAGGTGGGTGAAGGAGCTGGGTGCCCAGGAAGGAGGGGCACAGCTGGACCAAGCCAGGGTCCTGGTTCCCAGACAGTACTCTGCCCAGCTGAGGTAGCCCTGCCCTGCCCCCCATTTCCCTGAGGGTTAAGAGGGGGTGCCCTGGGGAGGGGGCTCCCCCCAGCTTCTGAGAGAGCTGCTTGTTCCCTGCCCAGATGAGGGGACCTGTCCTGAGCCAGACTGTCAGTGTATCCAACCCGAGTTCCACTGTGGAGACCCACAGTGTAAGAGCTGCCAGTACCACTCCTGTCCTCCTGGCCAGGGAGTGCAACCTGAAGGTAAGTGGTCGGTGGGGGTGGCCCGTGCAGGCCAGGGGCATTGACAGGGCCCAGCCAGAGCTCATAGCAGCTGGTGTGGAAGAATGCTTGCAGGTGGGGGTATGGACACCCTCTGGGCAGATGGGCGCCAGTGTGGGGTCCTATGGAACCCTGGCAGGCAGGCGGTTCTCTTGTTCTGGCATCTCAGCCCTCGCTGGAGGCACAGTGCCCACTGTGTGCGTGGCTCTCTTGGCCTACGTGTCTTTGTCCAGAGATGATGCCCTCAGGGCCAGTTGTGAGAAACAGAGGGGTGTCCAGGACTGTCTGGCTCTTAGGCCCTGGCTCAGACTATGTCCAGGTCCTATACCCACCCTGATGCTCCATGTGGAGCCCAGTCTGGAGTTCAGCCCCTTTTCTGGAAGGAGCATCTCATCCTCTTAGGGGGCTCTTTACCTGGGGAGTGGGGCCTGCCTGAGCACGTGGGGGCTGGGGGAGTGAGGGCGGCAGGGGACTGTGTGAGGTTTTTGGGGCAGGGGAGCCTAGGGGTGACTGGGGCACAGCCTTACCCCAATCTCCAGGGCCCTCACCAGCCTCCTGCCCCCCAGCCTCCTGGAGCAAGTGAAGGCCCAGCCTGGCTCTTGCCAGGCTTCTACCCAACCCCCACCCCCCGCCCGGCTCCATCCAAGCAGGTCCCTCCCCTCCTCCATATCCCTTCAGGGACCCTCCACTCAGCCCTGAGTCACAGCCTGCCCCAGAAAGGGGCACATTGGGGACCTGATTTATCCCAGGCCCAGGTCCTGTGGGCACCAGAGGCTCCTGTCAAATGGATGAGGTGGCAGGGGAGTCCTTCTGCTGGGGAACTGGACACCAGCAGGATCCCACCCCAGTCACCCCTGCAGCCAGTGTATGTTTGTCTGTCTCCAGGCAACTTCAAATTCGGCTTTGAGTGTGTTGACTGTGCCGTGGGGACCTTCTCTGGGGGCCATGAGGGCCGCTGCAAACCTTGGGCAGAGTGAGTGCTGGTGGGGCCTGCTGGTGGCCGGGAGGTCCAGGCAGGCTTGAAGGCGGGGCCTCTGCTGTCCTTTCTGGTGCAGTGACCCCCAGCAGCTCAGAGGACTGCAGCAGTGCGGAGGAGTGCTTGGTCGCTGAGGGCTGACCGAGGGCTCTGTCCGTGTGTCCCAGCTGCGTCCAGCTTGGATTTCCCACCCTGTTCCCCGGGAACAAGACGCACAATGCTGTGTGCAGCCTGGGGCTGCCGCCCACTGAACCACCCAGCCTGCTGACCATCATCATCCTTGCCCTGGCTGCCTGCATCCTGGCCCTGATCGTGACCCAGCTGAGCCTGCACATCTGTCAGCTGAGGAGGCAAAGAGTGTGGCCCCCAGGTCAGTTGTGCCTTGGGCAGGGGGGGGTCCCCTGCCTGCCTGCTGATCGCAGCCCCTCTGCAGAGACCCAGCTCCTGGAGGCCCCGCCACCCCTGCCCGAGGACACCTGCAGTTGCCAGTTCCCTGAGGAGGAGCGGGGCGAGCGGCTGTCAGAAAACAAGGGCCACCAGGAGGACCTGTGGGTGTGAAGTGCGGAGGGCCCATGCCAGGCTCTCCCTGGAGCTGGCCTAGGCTGGCCCTCAGGAGCAAGGGCTCTGGGCCCCGCGGTGGGGCCCCAGCTCTGGGCCCGGCCCTGCTCCCCTCGATGGTGGAAGCAGGTGGGGGATGGTGATAGTGACTGGTGCCCTGGATCATGCCGAAGAGGCAGCAGCTGTGGCTGGATCCTGTGGAAGACCCAGATGCACGGTGGCTGCCTCCCTCTCTTGCTGCCCCACTGGGGCCGCATCTGTGGGCCCCTGGTTCCCAGGACAGGAGGCTAAGGACCTGGCTACAGGCAGCACTCAATAAAAGCTTGTCCAGTGACCTAAGTGGATGTGTGCTGGGGGAGAAGGGACAGGTTCTGGATTTTCCCCCACCAATGCTCACAGTCCCTTCCTAGCCGAGGTGGGAGTGGGGGTGGGGCTGAAGCAGGACCGTTACAGTCCTCGGCGCAAGTTTTGCTGGACCCTGCCCTCTGTGCCTCTTGGCTGCCCTGTCCAAACTCAGTCTCCGATGGTTGGCCAGGCAGTTGCTCGGGCAGCTGGGTCCTTGGTGTGTGTGGGTCTCTGTGCCATGGGTGCTCCAGACTGGTTCCAGGCTGGCTTCACGTTTTGCTGGTCCCTGTGGGGTACCTGCCCTTGAGTCATTGGGCCCCAATCTGGGGCAAGGTAAGTTTCTGCCTACACTTCCTGGTGGATGTGGGCAGCCTCAGAATGGCCTGGTTCTAGCCCTCTGTCCCAAGCCCTCCTGTTGGCCTCCACCACCTCACAGGGCCCTCGCTCTTGGGGCACTGTCCTGGGGTCTTGGCCAGTGGAGGTGAGCATTGTTTTTCAGCCTCTTGACAGCATGATACCTGGGGAGTCTGATAAGGTCTCCATGGCGTCCAGGGTGTGGCTGGCGGGCCAGTGGAGACTGGTCTTGGCAGCGGCCCTCTCCAGGTGTCAGTACACCTGGCCCTCCTGCTGTCTGTGGCCCCAAGTGTTCTTGCACTGTCCCCCTCTCCCCTGCTCACCGAGCCCTCCCCACCCACCCGCACGCGGCCAGGAGAGCCCCTTGATTCACTAGTCCCCACCCCGACCTAGTTCCAGGGGTGCAGGTGGGCCCAGCTCAGAGCAGGAAGTGGAGGGGAGAGGGGCTCTGTGCCCTGCATTCCACCCCTTGTGGGGCACAGCCTGCCTCTGCCTGGAAGGAGGGGCGTGGCCGGCTTATGACCACTCACAGGGGGAGAACAACCCTCTCAGCCGCTTCTCTCTGCCTGCCCCTGGGGTCCTAGCTCTGGGGGCCCAGGGAGCGAACCAGCTGCCACACCCATAGGCTCCTCCTCTGCCCTCAAGCTAGATCTCCTGTCCCCCGCCAACCCTCGTCCACCCGCCTCCAGGAAGGCCCTCCTCATCGCTGTCACCTGGGTCCCTTGACTGCCCCTCCCCCACCTGTGAGGAAGGGGTCCCCACCCTGGTTCAGCCCCCTGCTGAGGCCAGGAGTCAGGTCCTAGACAGCCTCGCAGGCGGGAGCATGTTCCGCTGACTCAGCGCGGAAAGTCCTCACGGGCAGCCGGCCGGCGTGGGAGGAGTGCCCGGAAAGTCAGCCCGTGGGCGGGGAGGTGACGCCAGGTGGTGGGGTGATGTGGAGCGAGTGGGGGATTCCTGCTTTGCAGCGGGCAGGGGCCAGGGGGATTTGCCCAGCTCAGTGCAGGGCCTGGAAGAGGGAGGCCAGGCTTGCGGGGGGGTGGGTGGCGAGGACGACTCAGGGAGCCCCTGCCACTGGACTGGGCCCACCCTCCACGCTCCCCTCCTCCCTACAGAGTGCCTCTGCCCCACCAGGCCTGTCCACTACTGGTCACCCCAGCTCCCTCCGCTCACTCCCTGTTCTCCCCACTCCTGGACTCACGTCCCTCCCTGGCAGCCTCCTGGGAGCTGATAGCAAGCTGGACCTGAGTTGAACTGAGGCGCCCCAGCTGAAATCCTAGAGCAGGAAGGGGTGTGGAGGGGCTCGGTTAAGGGGAGGCAGGAGGCTCAGGTGGGTTGCCCAGGGCCAGGTGTGCCCAGGGGAGGCTTGAGCAAGTCCAGGTTGGGAGGAGGGAGGCCCTGGGTGGGCCTGGGAGGCAGAGCTCAGGGCAGCGGGAGGCACAGGAGACTCAAGAGTGCTGATATGTGGGGGACGGAGGGGGCTGGTGTGTTGAGGGGCTCCCACCCCCTCCTGCTCAGCCCAGTGTGCTGGGATGGGCACAGGTATAGGTCACCAAGCCCAAGAATGACCCAAAGATTAGATTCTGCCCAGGCCAGCTCCAGCCCCTTGCTGCTCCCCCCTGGGAACTCCCCAACCCCAACCAGAGAGGCTCTCCAGCTGCTTAGCTCCTCCCTGGTCAGGCTCCAGGGTGTGTGTGCAGCCTCAGATAAGGGCCCAGAGGCCATCCTTTGTTCCCAGAAGTGCTTCCGGCCACAGCAGCGTCCCACCCAGCCACAGCACCTCACCTTGTTTGAAAAGGCCCCTGACCGCCCACCCCCTCCTTCCCTGAGATCTGGACTCAGACAGTGTGGGACACCCTCCCAAGCAGACAGACACACCCATAGTGGGCATAGGGAGGGAACCTGTCCTAGACAGAACCGGATGTCTGCCCTCCCTCGGCCCCAGTCCTAAGGCAGCTTCAGGGGGCTGTCCAAGGGCAGGTGGCCCCTGCCTGCCCCCTCACCAATCAGATAGGTCCATGGTGCTAAGTCTGGCCATTCAAGGGCCCTGACCTGGAACTGGGGCCATCACTCCCCTCAGTCCCCACCATAGTTTCAGCACCATGGCCTCTCCTCTGCAACTGGGCTGAGCTCTGGCTCTGCAGTGGTTTTCAGGGCTCCGAACCCCCACTTCCCAATAAGTGGCCATGCTCCATGGAGAGGAGTCTCTCCAGAGACATTTATTTGGGCCATGGCTGTTCCAACCCCTCTATTTGGAGACACATTGCAGGAAGAGGGGTTTGAGGGGGGTCCTCTGAGTCCTGTGGGCTCTTTAGTGGAAACATATTCCTGACTGCCAGGGACTGCAGGAGGATCCAGATGGGGGGCAAGGGTGTGGCCATCACCTCTGGGAATGAACGAGCAGCAAGATAACTTCATTTATTGTCACCCAGGTTCTCCGGGTACCAGGGGCCCAAGAGCTACAGACAGTCCAGGGTTTAGGGTTGCCTGGGGATGGGGTCCCAGTAAGGACATGCGCGTCTCACCCCACCATGGTCCCTGGGGGCCACTGCACCCACTCAGGGCCCAGGGACAGTGAGGCCTCAGGCCAGCTTCCCCTCGAGTGTCGGGTCATCTCTGCAGATACTGCCTTGACCGGCTGGGGGTCAGTCCTGCTGGAGGAGAGCTGGAACATCCAGGGGGCAGCACTGTTCTACCATGGGCCAAGTCATGAGCCCCAGGACAGAGTGGTTGAAGGCCCTGTGGGCAGGATGTGAGGAAGGGGCAGAAGAGGCCTGGAGGCTGAGACATGGGGTACAGAGAGGCCCCTCAGGGGCGACCAGGGGCTGAGCCTGCGGTGACATGGCTGTGCAGTGACCTTCACCCCAGTAAGGAAAGACTGGTACAGACCCTGAAGACACTGACGTGGGTGCGCTCTGCCCACCCAGGGGGCCACCTCTCCCTGATGGAGACTGGTTTTCACCCTCCCCAGCCTGGGGGTGCAGAGCTGGCCACTGGGCTGCGGAAGTGGCAGTGCTGAGCTTGATACCTCATGGAGAGCCCATCAGACATGCTGGGTGGGCTTGTCATACGGTGACAAGCGTGCTTCTGGCCTGGGGACCCTACACTCGTGGCCACAGCAGCAGGACGAGGAGGGAGTGCAGTGGTGGGGATGCGTGGGTGAGCTGTGAGTGACAGGGCAGCTTGGTCCTGGCCTGGGCCCTCACTGGCTCTGTGACCCGGGAGGACTGTCTCTACCTCTCAGCCCCAGGTTTCATTTGGCTCTTCTCTCCCTGACTCCCTGACTGACTGCACATCTCCGTGGACTGGCCAGTGGCTCAGCTGCCCTCTAGCTTGCTCTGGCCCTTGCTCCCCTGGGAAAGGAGTGGGAGGGGCAATGGGGGAGGGGAAGACAAGCCCCATTGCCCCTTAGGTCCTACCCGCACTCCAATGCAGAGCAGAACAAGGGTCCCAGCAGCCCCTCCCACCTGTGGTGGAGCCCACTGGGGTCACGAGTGAGGGTGGGCAGGCAGGGGGAGGGCATGTGACTTGGTGATGACTGATGGGAAAGGGGAGGGCGGGGTATGTGAAAGGCAGTGCAGGAGGAGCGGTGCCAGCTGCCGTGGGCATAGGGGTGGGTCTGGATTGGGGTCGGTGTGGGATGGTGGGTGTGGAGAGGGGATTATGGCTGGTCCAGGATGCTTGGTGGTAGCGGGTTTCTCCCAGCAGCCTTGAGGTTGGGGCCACAAGGAACGTGGGGACATGCTGGCTCGGCACACCCCTCAGGGCGCCTTCCTGCACGCCCACGCACCTGTTGCCCACAGCCTGAGTCCTTGGGCCTCAGCCACCGCAGGCCTCTGCGATGCTCTGCCTGCTGTATAGCTCCCACCGTGGCACCGTTGGGGAACTCAGGGCCCTGGTGCTCTGAAGCCCCAGAAAGGAGCTGAGCCTGGGCAGGGTGGGGCCTGGTGTGAAAAAGCGCTCCTATGGGGATCTGGAGGGGCCCCTGGGGACTCAGACCCTTGCCTGGGAGACACTGGCTGCCTTTCCCAGGGACCGCAGACTAGGCAGCCGGGGTAGGTGACCTGTGAGGCTGCAGGGGCCCAGGGTCCGGATGGAGGCCGGCTATAGGTGACGCGTGGGGGCCCAGAAACTGGAGAGCTTCACCGGATGGAAGCAGCCCATGGTGGGCAAAGTCAGGGGTTCAGATTCGGCGGCTCATCCCTCGACCCCCATGTTCCCTCAAGAACGGGTCCCAGCAGTGAAGTAGCGGCTCGCGAGGTTCAGGGAGGCTGCCAGCGGGGGTCTTGGGGCCGGGCGTGCGGGGGCAGAGGCCGTGCTTGTAACAAAGTAGCTTTTATAGGTCCCTGGGAGAGAGCTGGTAGCCGGCCCGCTAGGAGCCGCGATGGCCCGCGTTCTTGCGCTCCTCTTCTGCCGGCCCCGGGGAAAGCTCCCGTACCCGGTCCTCGTCGCCCACTCGCGGCTGCCCACCGCCCTGGGCCTCGGGGCCTCCACTCAGGGCGCCGTCGGGGGCGGGGATGGGAGGCCTGGGGCGCCGATGCGCGGAGGAGGGCCGCCCTGGCCCTCCGCCGAGGCCCCGGTGTGGCGCGGGCCTGCGCGCACCCGGCCTGTCGGTGGCGCGGAGCAGGGGTGGCTCGAGGGGTGCGGCGTCGCAGGTGGGCCGAAGTGGGGGCAGCGGCGGGCGGGGGACTTTGCGGGAGCCCCCCAGGCACGGCCACAGGTCCGTCTCGCCGTTGTGCAGGAGCACGAAGCGGCGCTGGGACAGCAGTGGTAGCATCTTTTCGCTGCGTAGGCTCTTCTGGAAGGTCTCGAGCGCCAGGTCTGAGGAGGAGTCGGGGGTGAGTGGGATGCGGAGCGGGGAAGGGCGGTGGGGGGGATGGGGGGACCCCCCCACCCCGTCTGGAGGTGACAGGGTGGTGAGGGGTGGGATGGCACCACGCTGGCGGGGAGGTGGGGGCATGAGCAGAGGCTGGGGTTGCCACGCAGCCCTCAGGGTGCTGGAGAACTGGGTTTGTGGGTGTCTGAACTTGCAGAGAGCATGTGCAGGCAGAGGGGGGCAGTTTGAGGGTCCTGGGGGGTGGCTCACCCAGGGTCTCCATGACCACGCCGGGAATCACTTCTTTCAGGACTTCACAGTTGGTGTGCAGGGCGGGGTTGGAGTTCATTTCCAGCAGCCACACCTGGGCCCAACACTGCTCAGCATCCTGCCCCACCTACCACTTGGCCAGGAGAAAGCTGAGACCCTGGTCCCCATTAAGCCAGGTGACCATCAGGTCACTTCTTTTCCATGACCTCACTCCCCCAGTTGCCCAAGGGGCTGAGACTCTTGAGGGTCTGAGAGTCTGGCCTTAGGAGACACCCCAGCTGTAGGAGGAGTGAAACCTTATGGGCACACCACCCCCAGGGCTAGGGAGGGCACCTGACTGCCCACCCCAGGGGCCTGCCTGAGTGGTCAGGAGTGCACAGAGGGCCCCTGCCTCCTGCACCTGCCTGCCAGGCCCACCCCCCTGGAAAGCCTCAGCAGCACCTTAAAGTTTTCATCGATCAAGAAGTCACAGCCGATGAGGTCAAAGTAGCCCAGCTTGCACTCCAGCTTGGCTTTGACGGCCAGGAAACAGTGGGCCATGATCTGCTGCATTCGCTTCTGTGGGTGGGGCGGGGTGGCGGGGATAGGACGTCACCTGTGGGCCTTGATTACACCCTCCAAGCCTGAGCAGCCACAGCCCATCCCTCACCTGTGCTCCCACCGTGCCCATACTGTCACATTCTCAGGGTCACAGGCTTACAGCCAGAAACTCCTTCACTCTCATTTTATGTACCCAACAAACGTATGGCCCTCCTATTGTGTGACAGGTCCTGGACTGGTGTGGCAGGAGAGTGGAGAGAGCTTCCGAGGAGTCTCTGCCCTTGAGCAGTTCACTCGTCAGAGAGACAAAAAACTTGATGTGTAAATCATTATGCACTTTGTATGGTGCACAAAGCCACACATGCTAAAGCAGGGGAAGCTAAACAGGGTGAGAGGTGGGGGGTTCGGGGTGGTGGGGAAAGGGGTATGATCCAGGTGGGCCTCATTGAGAAGAGAGTGAGTAACAGGTGAAGATGGAAGGAGGGAGCTGTGGGATGGGGATGGGACACCTGGCGGGAGCAACAGCTCTAAGCTCGAGCAGCCCAAGGTGTCAGAGGACCAGGGTGATGCTGCTGTGGCTGGAGCAAGCTAGGGAGCAGCAGGAGATGAGACCGGAGTGGCACCAGTCACTTCTCAGGGTGTGGGAAGACCTTGTCTTTCACCCTGAGATCAGAGCTATGGAAGGTGGTGCACAGGAGGGCGTATGTGACCTGTGCCCTCACAGGGTCCTCAGGTTGCTATGCTGAGAGAGACTGAAGGGGCCTGTTGCAAGGGTCTAGGTGACAAATATGCTGGCTTGTAGAAGCCGAGGTGGTAGGATGGATGCTAGGTCTATTTTGGGGTAAAGCCAATGCAACTGATGAAAGGATGTGAGCTGTGAAACAAGAATGAAGGGCTATCTCTAGATGTTTGGTCTGAGACTCTGGGAGGATGGAGCCCTCATCAGCCAAGAAGGAGAGGAGGCCCTGGAGGCTGAGACCTCTGTGAGCTTGCAGACGGGGTGCTGATAGGCTTTAGTTCAAGATTAGGAGAGTGGTTAGGGTCCATGTTTAATATGGAATCTTAAGTACCTAGATGGAATTTAAAGTCAGGGGATGTCTGAGAAAGAGAAATGTCATATGACATCCCTTATATAAGCAATGATACAGACGAACTTACAAAACAGAAAGAGACCACAGACTTAGAGAACAAACATGGTTGCTGGTGTAATGGAGCAGGGAAGGGATAGTTAGGGAGTTTGGGATGGTCATGTATACTCTGTTATATTTAAAATGGAAAACCAACAAGGACCTACTGTATAGCACAAATAACTCTGCCCAATATTATGTGGCAGCATGGATGGGAGGTGAATTTGGGGGAGAATGGATACATGTATAGATTCAGCTGAATTCCTTTGCTATTCACCAGAAACTATCACAGCATTGTTTGTTAATTGGCTTTACCCCAATACAAAATAAGAAGTTTTTAAAAAAATTAAGTCAAGTGATATCTGATAAAGACAAAGAGTAGATAAAAGCAGATAAAGAGTAGAACCAGGCTGGACACTGGGCTCCAGAGAGCCATGGTGGGGAGCCCCACAGGGGGCTAAGAGGAAGTGAGCAAGGTCCTGGAAGCCTTGGGGAGTGAGGAGCTATGTCCAAAGTTGGCTGACAGGTCAGGGAGAAGAATACCAGGGCTAACCCCTGAGTTTGACAACATGGAGGTCACTCTGGTGAGCATTTCAGTGAGACAACAGGGAGAAGCCTTGCTGAGCAGGATCAAGAGAGACGAGAGCATCACAAAATGGGCAGAAGAAGGGGTCCAGAGATAAGCCATTCCATAAAAACAGCTAAAATGGGCCAAATTTGTCAAAATTAACCTTAGAATACTGGAAATTAACCAAAAGCGTTCAGCCACCTGAAGAATGTTTATTCAAATAGAATCTTGCATCTTGGTAGGAACAGCAAGTTTTGTAGTAGTTTAACCTGTTCTAGTACTATTCCCTGCATCCCAGCTCAATGCCTTGAAAAAAGCTTACATTCTTGGTACTGGAGATAGCAGGATTAATCTGTTTGGCAGAGGAGTATAGTCATTTGTTGTGATGTCTGATGTTTCCTTGGAAGACCTCACTTGAACTAAAGGAAAATACAGGAACAATGTCTTACCAAATAGAGAATATCAGTGAAGAGACAGAAATTATAAACGAGAGCTGAACAGAAATTCTGGAGTTGAAAAGTATAATAATTGAACAAGACATTTGAGTTGTTTGAAGATAGATCAGTTGAGTTTATCCAGTCTAAGGAACAGAAAGTCAAAGGAATGAAGAAAAATGAAGTTACAGAGATCTATGGAAGGAGATCTAGAAAGAGAGTAAAGGAAGAGGCAGGAAGAATATTTAAAGAAATAATGATAGTGGGACTTCTCAAATTTGATGAAAAATAATTTACACATTTAAGGCCAATGAGCTCCAAGTAGGATAAGCTCAAAAAGATCCATGATATTATAAGCAAACTTTTAAAAGACAAAGACAAACAGAGGATGTTGAAATCAGCAAATAGAAGTGACTTATCATAAGGGCTCCTCAATAAGACGAGCAACCAATTTCCCATTAAAAACCATGGAGTCCAGAAGGCAGTGGGTTGACATGTTCAAAATACTGAAAGAAAAATAAAACTGTCAACCAAGAATTGTATATACAGCAAAATTATCCTTCAAAAATAAAAAAGAAATTAAGACATTCCCAAATTTAAAAAACATAGATTATCAGTAGTAGAACATTTCTACAGTCCTTTGGACTGAAATGAGAGGACACTAGACAATAATTTGAATTCACATTAAGAAATTAAGAGCATCCATGAAGTAACTACATCAATTCAGTTCAGTTACTCAGTTGTGTCCAACTCTGCAAGTCCATGGACTGCACGCAGCATGCCAGGCTTCCCTGTCCATCACAAACTCCTGGAGCTTGCTCAAACTCATGTCCATCAAGTCAGTGATACCTTCCAACCATCTCATCCTCTGTTGTCCCCTTCTCCTCCTGCCTTCAATCTTTCCTAGCGTCAGTGTCTTTTCTGATGAGTCTGTTCTTCGCATCAGCTGGCCAAAGTGTTGGAGGTTCAGCTTCAGCATCAGTCCTTCCAATGAATATTCAGGACTGATTTCCTTTAGGATTGACTGGTTGGATCTCCTTGCAGTCCAAGGGACTCTGAAGAGTCTTCTCCAACACCACAGTTCAAAAGCCTCAATTCTTCGGCGCTCAGCTTTCTTTATGGTCCAACTCTCACATCCATATATGACTGCTAGAAAAACCATAGCTTTGACTAGATGGACCTTTGTCAGCAAAGTAAAGTCTCTGCTCTTTAATATACTGTCTAGTTTGATCATAGCTTTTCTTCCAAGGAGCAAGCATCTTTTAATTTCATGGCTTTAGTCACCATCTGCAGTGATTTTGGAGCCCAAGAAAATAAAGTCTGTCACTGTTCCCATTGTTTTATAAGTAACTACATAGTTAAATATAAAAGACACTACACATTTATTTTTTGGTAATTGCCTTTTTCCTTCTGTTTTATTTAAAAGACAACTGCATAAAACAATAACTATCGGGATGGGGAATACATGTAAAAAAAAAAAAAAGATACACTATGGTTGTGATAAAAAAAAAAAAAAACTAAAAAAAAAATAAATAAAAATTAAAAAAAAAAACAATAACTATGAATCTATGCTGATGGACAGTAACAGCATAAATGAAGAGATAGAGCTATATAGGAAAAAATTTTAAAAAACCGCTATTGAAATTAACTTGGTTTGAATCCAAACTAGATAGTTTTAAATTAAGATGTTAATGGTAATTCCAAGGGCAGCAATAAGAAAATAACTCGAAAATGTATAGTGAAATGTATACTAGAAATGTATACTAGAAATGGTACATTAGAAAATATTTAACACAAAAGTAGGTAGTAATGGAGAAACAAACAAAAAGATATAAGATATATAGAAAATGGCAAAAGATCAGATGTAAATCCTAACTTATCAGTAATTATATTAAATGTAAATGGATTAAGCTTTCCAATAAAAGACAAAGATTGGCAGAATGCATCCCCCCACCTCCCAGATGCTTTCTGTGAGACTCACTTTAGATTCAAAGACAAAGATAGATTGAAAGTCAAAGAATAAAAAAAAAGATATATCAGGCAAAAAGTAACCAAAAGAGATCTGGAACATCTGTACAAATATCAGAGAAAATAGAGTTTAAGATGAAAATTGAAGACATTAAGAAAAAAAGAATATTTTCTAATGATAAATCAAGAATATGTAATAATTATACATTCACCTAACAACAGAGCCTGAAAATATATGAAGCAAAAACTGACAGAACTGAAAGAAATAGACAATTCAAGAATAATAGTTGGGGACTTCATTATGCCATTTTCAATGATAGAACAGCTATACAGAAGATCAATAAGTAAATACAAGACTTGAACAACACTATGAATCACCTACCCTGAAAGATATCCTTAGAACTCTCCACTCAACAGCAGACTACACATTCTTCTGCGGTGTGCATGGAACATTTTTTAGGATAGAGAGTATGTTGAAACATAAAATAGGGACTTCACTGGTGATCCAGTGGTTAAGAATCTATCCGCCAAGGCAGAGGACATGGGTTTGATCTCTGGACCAGGAAGATCCCACATGCCAAGGGGCAACTAAATCTATACACCGCAGCTACTGAGTCCATGCTCTAGAGTCTGTACTCTGCAACAAGAGAAGCCACCACAATGAGAAGCTTGTGCATCAAAACAAAGAGTAGTCCCCACTCACTGCAAGTAGAGAAAGTCCTCACTCAGCAACGAAGACCCAGTGCAGCCAAAACAAAAAACATGAAACAAGTTTCAATACTTTTTAAAGGGTTGAAGTCATGTAAAGTATGTTTTCTGACCACAACGGAATGAAATTAGAAATCAGTAGGAGAAAGAAAATTAGAAAATTCACAAATGTGTGGAAGATAACACACTCTTACGCAACAAATGAAAGCAGAATGCACAAAATCTTATGGGATGCAGTAAAAGCAGTACTCAAAGGGAAATTTATGACTGTAAATGCCTATATTAAACAGGAAGAAAGATCTCAAATCAAATCAATAACCCAATCTTCAACCTTAAGGGAAAAAAAAAAAGAAAACTAAACCCAAAGCAAGTAGAAGGAAGGCAATAATAAAAATTAGAGTGAGTATAAGTGGAATTAGAGAATAGAAAGCAATAGGGAAAATCAATGAAACCAAAAGCTGGCTCTTTGAAAAAATCAACAAAACTGACAAACCCTTAGCTAAACTGACCAAGAAAGAGAGGAAAGAAGATTTAAATTACTAAAATCCAGAAAGACCGACCTTGGGGCTTTCCTGGTGGTCCAGTGGTTAAGACTCTATGCTGCCAGTGCAGGGGGCATGGGTTTGATACCTGGCCCTGGTGGCTCAGACGGTAGTCTGCCCACAATGCAGGAGATCCAGGTTCGATCCCTGGCTCAGAAAGATCCCCTGGAGAAGGAAACGGCAACCCACTCCAGTATTCTTGCCTGGAAAATTCCATGGACAGAGGAGCCTGGTGGGCTTCAGTCCATGGGGTTGCGAAGAGTTGGACATGAGTGAGTGACTAACACTTTCACTTTCAATGTCAGGGAACTAAGATACAATATGCCAGGTGGTGTGGCCAAAAGAGTCAAAAAAATTTTTTTTTAAAGAAAGACTTTACATAAAGATGAAAATGATTATGAAAAGGATTATAATCGTTCATAAAATACCATAAGCAACCTATATTCCAAAGAAATTAGGTAACTTAGAAGAATGGAAAAATTCCTAGAAAGACAAACTGATAAACTTGACCCAAGAAGAAATAGATAATCTTAGTTACCTCTAACAAATAAAGGTTGAGTTAGTAATAATAATAAAAATAATCCTTCCCCCACAAAAAGGCCACAGTAAGGTGGCTTGACTGGTGATTTCTTCCAAATATTTAAGGGCTCCCTGGTGGCTCAGATGGTAAAGAATCTGCCTGTAAAGCAAGAGACCTGGGTTTGATCCCTGGGTCAGGAGTATCTCCTGGAGAAGAGAATGGCTACTAACTCCAGTATTCTTGCCTGGAGAATTCCATGGACAGAGGATCTTGATGGGCTACAGTCCATGGGATTGCAAAGAGTCAGACACAACTGAGCAACTAACACGGCACATTTCACAAACTACAAATATAGAATAGAAGGGAACATGTTCAAAACCAAATAGACAATAATGCTGTGGACCAATGTTGCTTATGAGGGTACACACAAATATTAAATGAAGTACTCAGAAACCAATTCAGCAGCATATTTAAAGGACAATATGCTATGTCTGAGTGAGATCTATCCCAGAAATGCAAGAGTGATTCATTTAACACATGAGGGACTTCTCTGGAGGTCCAGCGGTTAAGACTCCCAAGTTTCCAATGCTGGGGACATGGGTTTGATCCTTTGTCAGGGAAGTAGGATTCCCGTATGCCTCATAGCACAGCACCCACCCCCCCCCAAAAAAAGAGAAAGAGAATGAACCTACAGCAACTCAAACAGTGTGGTGCTGGCTTAAAGACAGACACACACATCAATAAAATAGAATTAAGAGTCTGGAAATAAACACATATATATCTGGTCAATTGATTTTCGAAAATTTGCCAAGAACAGTCTGACAGATGGTCCTGGGACAATGGAGTAGCTACGCACAAGAGACTGAAGCTGGGCATTTACCTCACACCATACACAATAATTAACTCAGAGTTAAAACATAGGACTTTTAGAAGAAACCGCAGATGTATCTTTACAACTTGGATTTGGCAGTGGATTCTTAAATATTACATCAAAGCATGAATAACCAAAGAAAAATAGATAAATTACACGTAATAAAAATTTAAAACTTTTGTGCAAAAAAGGACCTTATCAGGAATCCCCTGGTGGTCTGGTGGTTAGGATTCTGTACTTCCGTTGCAGAGGGCATCGGTTCAACCCTTGGTTTGGGAACTAAGATCCTGCAAGTTGTGAAACTAATGAAAAAGGACATTATCAAGAAAGTGAAAAGAGAACTCACAGGAGAAAATATTTGCAAATCACAATCCGATAAGGGTATAGCAATCAATTTATAAAGAGTTCTACAGCCTAACAGGGACTCCCCAGGTGGTGCTAGTGGTAAAGAATCCGCCTGCCAATGCAGAAGATGCAAAAGATATGGGTTTGATCCCTCAGTCAGGAAGATCCCTTGGAGGAGGACACAGCAACCCACTCCAGTATTCTTGCCTGGAGAATACCATGGACAGAAGACCCTGGCGGTCTCAGTCCATAGGGCCGCAAGGAGTTAGATATGATTGAAGTGACTAGGCAAGCATGCATGCACAGCCTAACAAAGAAAGAGTGAAAAAAAAATTAAAAAAAAAGAGTGGACAATGGAGGTAACAGAAATTTTTCTAAAGAAGATACAGATAAGGCTAAGTACATGAAAAGATGCTCAATATCATTATCATTAGAAAAATGCAAGTCAACCCTGTAATGAGATAATATTAAACTATTAAACAGAAAGATAGTAAGCATGGGCAAAGATACAGAGAAACTGGAACCATCAGACATTCCTGGTGGGAGTGGGAGTGATTGCAGCCACTGTGGAAAATGTTGGCAGTTCCTCAAAAAGGTCAACATAAGAGGGACCATGCCACCATGCAGTTCCCTTCCGAGACCTGTATACAAGGGAACTGAAATACCTGTTCGTGTATGTGAATACTCATAGCAGCATTACTCATGATTGACAAAAAGTAAAAACAACCCAAATGTCTGTCAACTGATGAACATTTATCCAAACAAATCATGGTCCATTTACACAATGAAATATTATTCAGTCATAAAAAGGAATGAAATGAATATTGAAAATGTTATGCTCAATGAAAGAAGCCAGGAAAACCCACATGTTGTGTGATTGCATTGATGTGACATATCCTGAACAGGGAGATGCATGGGGACGGAGAATGGACTAGTGGTTGCCAGAGGCTGGGGAGGGCAGTGGGAGATGACAGTGTTCTGGAATCAGAGGGTGGTGATCATTGTTCAACTCTGTGAATCCACTGAGAATCACTGAACTGTGCACTTTGACAGGGTGACCTTTGTTTTGTGTGAATGATCCGTTTGAGAAAGGGAGAGCAGAGGACTCCTAGAGCCAACTGCTAGGGGCACACCCAGAAGCAGCCCTGCCCAGGGACCTGCCTGTGGCCCAGCACCCCACACCCCAGTCCTGACCCCCATCCCCTCCCCTCGCCGAGTGGACAGGGCACACACAAACCGTGAAGGTGGTGAAGACCCAGTCTCGCGGGAGGCCCTTGGTCTTGTGGAACTTGTCGTTGATGTAACGGTTGAGGTGCTCCATGCTCCACACTGTGTCCTCCTTGAGCAGCACATACAGGGGACTCTTCTTCTGCATGAACTGTGGGGAAGTGCAGCAACTGGAGGCCCGTCCCCCACGGAGGCCCCAATGGAGAGCATCACCCTGATGCTGCCACACCCCCACGGGGGCCTGCTTCTCCTAGACGCCCTGGGCTGGCCCTGCTACCTGAGACCCTCCCCCAGCAACTCCTACCCTTGAGAAGCCCCCCCAGACCCCCCTGGGGGACCGCTGCCCAGACGCATCCCATTGATATCCTTCCTTGGAGACAGCTGCCCTTAGCATCTCTGCACTGAGGTCCTCACCAAGACCCTCATCCTCTGCTCCCACCCCTGTGGTGCCTGATCCACACCCAGAGGGAGACAAACTGGAGTAGGGGGTGGCGCATGGCTCTCAGTCCTTTCACAGGGTGCCTGCTGTGGCTGAAGGTGAGAGGCATTGCTGACCGCTGGCAGAGCCAGCTCCAGGCCTGGGCTGTGTCTACAGCTGGGTTCTTGTCTACATTCTTGAACAGCGATTTTGTCCAAGGCTGCATCTGTGCAGCACATTTACCTGGTTGGTTAAATGGCCACTGAGGTCGCTGGAATGGGGATCATAAAGGCCGAGGGTGAGGCGAGCATAGCCGTGGCCGAAGAAGACCATGTAGGGCATGGCACAGGCGATGAGCAGGTAGGAGCGCACATCAAACTTCTTCCCGTCCAGCAGCAGCGGGTTCTTGATGTACCTGGGGAGGTGTGTTCAGCCTGGCCCGGGCCCCCACCTGGACCTCTTAGTTCCCCAGCACCCCTGCCACCTGCCTCAGCTGTGAGCTCTAGGTCCCCTACTCCAGTTGAGTGTAAAGTCCCCTCATCAGGGGACATTTCTGAGCCTGAACAGGTCAGGGAACTGGGGAGGAGGGCCTGGCCCCTAGAGCTCAGCCTGCTGGTGTATGACTGGGGTACCCCAGGGCACAGCTCTTGTTAGTTGGGGAGGCAGAAGCTGGTTGGCCCTCATGGTCAGGGAAGATTGTCTGGAGGAAGAGGCAGGGATGACCTTGGGCCTTAAAGGGCGGTGCCTTTGGAAAGACAAGAAGGGATATCCCAGTGGAGAGCACTGAGGTCTGGAGACCCAGAGGCTGGGAGCAGCTGCTTACGGTGACTGACAGCAGTTGTGGCAGGAATGAGGTCCGCTGGTGGAGAGGGAAGTCCAAAGGGAACTTTCTGAGGCCGGACTGTGCCTCTGGTTTGAGGTTGAGGGTCTGGACCTCACCCAGAGGCAGAGGGAGCCTGGGAGTGGGGGTCAGCTCTGCCCTAGGGCCTGAAGGCTGCAGCTGGCTGAGGGGGAATGGGGGAGAGGCTGGACTGCCTGCAGGTCAGTGTGCAGGCCCCAGGTCAGGGCACAGCTAACTGAGTGCCCCCTGCCCCACACTGTCCATGAGCCTGTGGTGTGTGTTGTGGGGGGTGGTGTGTGCAGGACATCTCCTTCCAGCCCTGACAGCAGGAGAAACTCCACCCCTTCCTAGCTACACAGAGGCCCAGCTTGGGGCACTGAACCTTCCACTATGAAGAACTCCTCTTTGGGCCCTGCGACCCCCACAGACCCTCACAGGAACCAGCGGGCTTGGGTCAGCCCCACCCATTCAACGCCCCTCATGGGGCCCATGAACAAAACCTCTGCACGACCCGCGCCTGGGGTGCCCGGAATGGCATCTTGCGGTAGATGGGGTCGTCCTCGATGCTTTGGGTCTTGGCCTGGAGGGTGGTGACTTCCTCCTGGTTCCGGAGCAGAAAGATGCCTTTGCCCTGGTTGGAGGCTGTGGGCTTGCAGATCCACATTTCGGTTTCTGCAGAGAGAGCCATCTGAGCCTGCGGGCTAGATTCTGCCCTGCCCCACCCCACCCCTCCCAGCCCTGACTGCTCTCCCAGTCATAGCCCTGCCCACACTCCTCCTAGCCATGGCCTGGAGCCTGCCAGGCTTTAACCTCCACTAAGGTCCAGCCATGACACCTCCCTAGCATGCCTTTAGTACCAGCCCTGTCCTCACCCAGGCTGGCTCCACCCTTTCCCTCCCTTACCATGCCCCTCCCTCAATCTTGCCAGGACCTTGGCCCGGCCCTAATCACACTCCCATCTTGGTCCAGTCCTGCACTGGTCTCCCCAGAGTGGGCCTGGAGTCCAGTGACTTCTCACCATCAAAGAGGGTGAAGAAAGCCTCTCTCTCGTCCCTGATGTCCAGACGGTAGGTCTCTGGGAAAAAGTCTTCCATTTTCAGGACCCTGGGGAAGCAGGGAGTGGGGAAGTCACGGAGAGGGTTGTCCCCTCCCCCCAGCTTGGCTGACCATTCCAGGGGTCCCGATCTGGGTGGGGAGGGGGGTGGCAGTTGGAGGGAGAGTTTCCAGTGGGGCTGGGCTCCAGGCACCCTGCAGCCTCTGGCGTCCTCTAACACATATCTGCCACCCCAGCTCTTCCCTCTGCAGAACCTTTGCACCTTCTGTTTCCTAGCCAACTCAGGCACACCTGGCTTCTCTGCAGGCCGCCTCACCTGCCTCTGATCCCTCCCACCTCCCAGCTCTTAGGTCTTCAGGAGTGGTCAGTTCAGAGCTGGGTCTCCAGGCAAGGACACTGACCAGCTTGCAGTGAGTGGTTGGCACGGATCCCCCTGGCCTGGGGTGCCTTTCAGCCCTTTCATGGACCTCCAGGCTGACCTTCAGTTTAGGGCATAGTGGCTGAGTGTGTCTACCTCTGTGGCCCTGAGTGTCCTGAGCTGATCCACAGGAGCTGTTCCAGGGCGGGTATCATGTCCTTTCCAGATCTGCACCCCAGGGGGACAAAGGACCTGGCTTGAGTGGCTGCTCAGTGTGTGGAGAGTGGCTGGGGGATGTCGAGAGGTGGGGCATGGGTGGAGGCTTTGACGGTAGCCTGGTGGTGTGTGGTGTGATGGACAGACAGATGCCTACAGGGCAGTGGTCCAGGGCTGCTGACAGAAATGGTGGAGGTGGACAGCTGGACACGAGGATGTAAAGATGGCCTTGTGGACGACCAGATGGTGGCTGGTTGGTTGGATGAGTGGCAAGACGTGTTAATGGCCGGGCAGTGAGTGGGTGTGGAGTGGACAGGTGAGTGACGATGTGGGCACGTGGCGTGGGCAGGCCCAGGGGCAGGAATGGCTGTGGGGTGGACAGCAGGGGTGTGGTGGGCAGTGGAGACAGTACAGGAGGCCAGCGGGTGGCTCTGTGGCGGGCGTGTGAGGACTGCTGAGGCCGTGAGGTGGGGGGGTGGATGGTGGCAGGTGTTGAGGGGGGAGACAGATTAACTGGGTCAGTGGGAAAGCAGGTGGGTGGATGGACTAAGTGGAGGGTGGTCAGGAACAGGGACTGACCCATCGGGTGGGGGTGTGCAGCTGGGTGAGTGGGTGCCAGGGTTGGGGGGCAGGGTGGCTCACTTGCTCTGTGCGCAGGGGGCTGGTTTGCTGGTCTTGCTCAGAACTCTCGAGTGCTCCCTCAGGACGCTGAGCAGCCCAATCTTGGTGGTGAGGAGCTTGTTGTTGGGGAGCTGGTACAGCAGCTGCTTGCCTGGCAGAACAGAGCCCGGGCAGCACACGGTGGCACCCTGTGTTTGAGGGCCGCCCGCTGAGCCTGGCCCCACCCCTACCTTCCCGGAAGTTGCAGTAGGTGTCCCTGCACTTGACCTCACACCACTTGAGCTTGTAGTCTTCCCGCCGGTTATCCTGGATGCGCCGCCAGCCCTTGCTCTTGCAGTAGGAGCTGATTCTGTAGGGGAAGAGCAGTGCTTACCTGGGGGCCGCGGAGCCGGGGAGCACAGCTGGGTAGGGCCTGGGGGCGGTGGGGCAGGGCCCGGATTGAGGTCCCACTCACATGGAGGCCCCGTTGGTCCCTCCGATGTAGAAGAAGGGGCCCTGCCCTGTGCTGGGTGGCTGCTTCTCCCCCTCCAGAAAGTGTTTCTCCAGGAGGGCGGCCTGGGGCCTGATGGCTTCAGAGTCGTCCAGCTCTGTGGGCAGGTGGGAAGTCAGAGCCTCTGGCCCACCCAGCAGCTTTCCTGCCCCCTGATGGGCCCCGCCCAAGCCCACCTGCATCTTGGTCCAGCTGGCTTAGTTGATGCAGGAGCCCCTCCTCTCTGTGGCTCCCCATGGGTCTCTCATGGGCCCAGCCTGTGAACAAGGTAGGTTCAAATGGAGGGGAGGGCATTCACTCAGAAACTGGCCGGAGCCCTTGGGCAGTCCCCCAGCCATCTCGGCCCATCTCTGCCCATCTCAGGCCCAGAGGGCCTCCCAGGAAAGAGGGGAGAGTCACCATCATCAAGGGCCAGCTCTGGAGTGGGCAGTGTCCCTCCTTACCAACAGGGTAGGGGGCAGAGGCTGAGGTTGAGGCTGGAGCTGGGGGCACACGTGAGGCAGGGACATGGCCAGGAGGGTGGGGGTCACAATGTCCATCATGATGTCATGGGTGACCCATGTCAGTCAGGGTAGACCCCTGTTTATGCCTGTTCAGACCCTGACTCTGCTGGCCTCTGCCCTACTTAGGCCAGCCTGGATCTCATACCCCTCACGTGACCGCCTCCCAGCCGCTCTCCCAGGACAGAGCTGTGTTGTCCCCTGTGAGAAGGCTTTCTTGGGGGTGGGGTGCCTGTCCCCAGGAAGGTCCTGGCTGCATTCACCTGGTGCCCGGGCGTGGCCCCGCCGGATCCTTGCCATCTTTGACCGCTTGCCTCTCTTTGTGCCGACTTGGGTCCGAGGGGGTAGTCCTCGGCGGTGGAGAAAGTGGGTGTGGCTGCGGGCCACAGACACTGGGGTACCTGGGCAGGGGTACCTCTGGGAAGACACTCCTCTGCGGGCCCTGCGGGCAACCTGTGGTCCTAGCCCTTGAACTGGGCACCCGGTCGGGCCCGCCCTGTGCGGGGAGGGGTGCTGCCTGGAGTGCTGGACTCTGGTCTGGTTCCGGTCTCTGTGACGACTTTGGGGCTGGGTGCCCCTTGGGGGCAGGGCCATCTCTGCATCCTGTCTGTCCGGGGCGAGTCCTCCCCTGCAGGGACGGTTCGTCGGTGGTCGGTGTCTCTGTACTCGGCCGTGGGGCCAGCTGTAAGGAGGGCTGCTGTCAGGCCTGTGGAGTTGGGGGGGAACGGCCTTCAGAGGGCCTCTCCCAGGGTCAATGGGACTGTGGGCCCTGCCCCTAGAACGATGCCTCCCTGGGGCACCTTTCTTGAGTGGCTGAGTTGGGAACATTTTAGGGAATTTTAGCTGTTCCTTGACAGGTCCTTCCCAGTTTGGGGGCTGCTCAGGAGGGTAGGGTTTTCCGAAACTGAAGAGCCATAAGCAGTGGAAAGGCCAGCAACCTGGAGTGTGGGCAGGCACAGAGAGGCTCCTCCAAAGAGGACAGTCGCTTTGCAAACAAACCAACTGGTCACCCTAGAGATGCTGACCAAGACCTTTGTCCCCATTTAGGACAGAAGAGGGTAAACTGGAGACAGTTGTCAACCCAGTGATGGGGGCTGGGCAGTGACTGGGTGCAGGGAGGGTCTCAGCCTTCTGCCAAGAGTGGGCCAAGCCATGTGGACGACCTTGAGCCCCCTTCCCAGCCCTGCCCCTCCCAGAATGAGAGGTCTCCTTAGTGGGGCTGGCCCCGCCCAGCATGACTGGGGTTGGGAGTGGTGCCTGCTGAGGACAGCGGGTGGCGGGGGGGGTACGTGTGGTCTGCACATGTCTCCACGTTGCCTGAGACCCAAACCTTCTGGGGATGGAGGCCCCCGAGAGGATAACGGGCAGTACTACCCCCCAGCACTCCGGGACACCTGGCAGAGGCCCCCCTAGGTGTGAGCAGGAGGTCAGCACATAGAGATAGCAGCTGCACAGTCGGGCTCAGAGAGGAGAGGGTGGCTGGGTGGCAAGGGCGGGCAGAAGGCGCAGGGACGTGGCCCTGGAGACATGCCAGGGTAGGACTGCCATCCTCACCTGAGAAGAGGGCTGGACGGTTAGCACACGGGGACAGATAAGGTGGACCAGCTCGTAGGAATTAAAAACGTGGTATAGCCTTGTGGTAAGTTCAAGGCGGAATGGGTTGGGAAGAAGAACACAAGAAAAGAGACTTGAGAAGTCTCAGATCAGGAGGTAACACTCTGTGGCCAGCCCAGTGTGGCCGGAGGTCTGGGGACAAGGTGCTGGGGCTCTCTGGGCTGTTGCTCTGTGCCTCAGTTTCCCCACCTGAGAGAGAGTTGAGGGGGTTTCTGTGAAGACGGTCTCTACATGTGACATGTGCAAACACTTCCCTCATCACCTGTATTCCAGGAGGGCCGGCCTGACAACAGTGAGGATGGGAAGGCCAGGCTGTTGCCAGCTAGTGGCCACCCCCAGGGGCATTGTTGGGGGTTATCATGTGAGCATGGGGGTGTGGAGGGAGTCCCTGGCCCAGCACTGGCTAACTTCTGCCTGTCATCTGGACACAGCAGTGGGTGCTGCCAGAAACAGGAGCCCAGAATTGGGCGTGAGGGCGTGGGTTTCAGAACAAGCTTTGTAAGCCTGGGCCTCTGGCCTGTCTTCACCCTGTATATTTTATTACTTCCGCAAAGAATTAAACAGGCCATGAATTACAGTTTCTTGTCATTCAAATGAACAAAGATTAAGAAGAACCCCTACCCTGGACATGCACACGTGTGATGACTGTGGTGTCCCTGGCCTGCAGGACATGGCTGGTGGGGTTGTGGGAGGGATCAGGGGGGTCACAGCTCCAGCTCCTAGAGCCTTTATTGAACAATTGCCTTTTTTTTTTTGACCTCACCCCACAGCATGTGTGATCTTAGTTCCCGGACCAAGGATCAAACCCACAACTCTTGTATTGGTAGGTGAAACCTTAACCACTGGACCACTGGGGGATGTCCACAATTGCCTTTCTCAGGATCTCTCTGACAGACTCATTCTAAATAGAAAGCTTTTGCTGGGAGATGTTCAAGGAATGTAATCACTGGCAGATGCAGCTTGGGCAACCGCGGCCCCACAGGCAGGATGGCATCAGGGCTCCCGAGAGGGCTGCAGCAGAGCAGGGACCATCAGTGGAAACCCAACTTTATAATGAACTTTTAAAGAAGCCGTTTACCTGGTCAGGTAAAAAGACCGGCAGGAAACGGCGCCCTGGTGTGACGAGTGGAAGACCTTGATGAAGCTGAAGGAAATGTCCGAGAAACGAGATGACACCATGTCCAACTGGGCCCATCCCCAGATGTACGCTTGGCCACACGGGCACTGAGTACTGACTTTGCTCATCCGGGTGGCGCTTTCTGGCTAGGGTTAAGCTGTCTTGGGGGGATGTGGGTCCCCGTGGATTTTAGGAGGCCATCCTTTTGGGGTTCAGGCCAGGGAGACAGACCTGGTCTTGAGCAAAGCAGCTGGTCCTAAGGGGCTGCCGTCCCCGGGAGGCCTACCCTGCTCAGCCTGGCCTGAGCGTTTCTGCTCCTCACCCTATGGCCCTGGGTGCTTGGGCCCTCTTCAGAGGGGGCTCTGCCCAGCCAGGCCCCTCCTCCCCTCCTCTCCCTCCCCTCCCTTATACTCTTGGACAGAGTCTTAGAGGACCCACAAGGCTCCTGGGGGCTGGGGGGCCAGGTAAGGACCACGGCACAGCTGGCTCCAGCCTTCATGCCCAGCCAGGACCCCGCTGTGGCCTGCCTGTCCCTCTTACCTGCCCCATAAGGTGGTGTGAGCTCTGCCTGGGAAGCAACAGTGGTGACCAGGCAACTGTCTCCCAGCAACCACGACCCAGTGGCCCAGAGGTGAGCAGGTGGATGGGGAAGGGCTGGAGGCTGGCCTGGGGGCGGGGGCAGGGAATGACTAAGGTTGGAAGAGGGGTGTTACGTGCACAGCTCCCACCCAGATTCTCCATCCTCCAGGGTCATTCCTGAGCCTTCTCAAGATCCCTAAGTCTATGCCCAGACCGCAGGCCTGACCCACTGTGCTTCAGCTGCTACCCTTCATCTCCTCTCACCACAGCCTCAGCATGTGGAGCCCTCACTTAACAAAACGGAAAGTGGAGCTCTGCAGACCCATGCCTCCCCAAGGGTGGGGCTGACAGCCAGGTCTGGGAGTCCAGGGACGTTGGGAGGGCCTATGGCTGCCCTGCATGGCCCCTTCCTCCACCCTCCAGAGCCTTGCATGGGTCAGCAGCGTGTCTCCCCTTAGGATGCCTTCGCTTGCTTCCTGTAGGGTGGATGGTGGCCCCCTGCAGTGTGTATCCACATCCTAAGGCCCAGAACCTGGGTGTGACCTCACTTGGAGAAATGGTCTTGGCAGATGTGATTATCTGCTGGGCCCTAAATCCAGCGACCAGTGTCCTTGTGAGAGGGAGGCAGAGAGCAGGAGACACAGAGGGGAGAAGCCAGCAGAAGGTAGGATAGTGGCCGGAGGTCCACAAGCCCTGTGGAGGTACACCTGGAGCCCTAGAGGCCAGAAGAGGCAGGAGGGACCCTGCTCATACCTGGACTTCTGACTTCTGGCCTCTAGGACCGTGAGAGAAGTCACTTTTGTTGTTTTAAGCTACCAAGTTTGTGCATTTTGCTGTGGCCACCTCAGGAAATTAATGTGCCCCCGAAGCCCTTCCTTCTGACTCCTCTGAGAGGCTGATGCACCCTCAGCTGTGTGCTGCCTGTGCCAGGTGCTGGTGGCCTGCGGGACTCAGTTCTGCTGTACTGTGGTCTGAAATCCCTTTGCCCGAGGGTTAGTCTGTGAGAGGGGAGAGAGCTCCCCCAGCCAAGCTATTGTCTGAGGGGCATCCTGACCTCAGGGTGGTGGGCCCCTGCCTGGGCCTGCAGGGGACAAGCACCCTTGAGTGTGCAGGGGGGGCCCTGGTCACCTGCAGGCCACTCAGTCTTCCCACTGGCCCAAGCAAAGACTTTTGGAAGTCTGTCCTCCCCAGGAGTCCATGCCCCCGTCCCTTCACTTCTAGAGACCCAGACTCCTAGGAGCTGGGCCAGCCCACCTACCCGTTCCTTTTGTGGCTCCCCATGGGTTCTCAGGAGGCAGCCCCCTGCCCATGTGGTACCACGGAGAGCTCAGACTCAAAAACTCCTTTATAACCTGAAGCTGGTGAG